TTCAGCTGGAAAGAAGAGAGAGCTAATAGAGGAAGACAGAATGAAAAAATAAAATCCCATTGTAATAGTGCACATTCCCTCTCTTGAATTTGGAGTTGTTTGTTCTTTCCCTCTCGGTATGGAGTTAAACATCTCCACAGTGTGTCAACTTACTGTCACAATTTTCTGTTACAATAATCTTAAACAAGTTCAATGACATTTGCTTCTTTGATATGGGTTGTTGTTCTAAATTTCCACTGTTCTCTGCTAAATTCTTCTTAACTAGCATCAGGAAAAAAATCAGCCTTCTACCTGTTGACACCAGAACAGGGGAGGGGAAATATTCACATGCATCCCCTGTAATGCAGAGGCTGCTGAGATAAGCACACTTTAAAAATATTATAGGGCAGCCTGGATCACTTGATTGCTTATAGCACGAACAGTTTTGCAAGCAAGTTTTGCACACCTACTGTGTGCAAAATGAAAGCTCTTCTTCCTTCACAGTCTCTCAGACTCTTAAATCAAAAGCAAGTAAGTTGTATTTCTGATTGTCTGCAACTTTTTTTTTTGCCTATAATTGTAACTTTAATCTCTGTTTCTCTTACAAGTTTAGGCTTGTTTGGTTTTGTTGGGGTTTTTTTGTTGTTTGTTTGTTTGTTTGTTCTGTGAAAGTTGAACTAAACAAGCCCAGTGTTCAGTAGCATGCGAAGCCACGCCAGGTTTTGCTCATTTGCCCCAGCCCTGGCACTGGCAACAGGTAGGAACATTACTACAGTCAGACAGAGCTCCTGTTGTCACACAGCTCTGCCAGAGCTCAGCTCCCATTCAGATTTCAAGTCTGCTCACAAGCTGGTTACTTACTTACATTAAGAACCACACTGAGTATTTAACTGCAGATTTTTTTAGTATGGCTTTAGGCTTATTTTTCTGTTAGTTAAACATTTTAAAGGAAAATACTTCATAAAAAAACCCTACACATTTTGAGATAAGCTAGTGCCTGTGAAAAGTGCGAGGTTAAATCACTTTGGAAAGTACAGTCCTCCACATAGCCAAAAATATAGACAGCTAGAGTGCAGACATCTCTGACCTGCCTGCAGCAGTTGAGGTGCCAACACAGGGAAAGGGGAAAAGGGTAATTAGCCCCTAGTTTGATTCTCTGATTACATATACAAGAATATGAGTTCTGAGCACCTGTCAGTCACTGCATGACTGCCAACACTAAATGAACCTGTCATACTGTACAGCACACCTACCAGTTTGACCAACTTCATTTCTGCCTTCCTTAGTCAACATAGAATCATCATCCTTGAGGTAGACGACCAGATATTCCACTACACTTTCCCTGCACCTTTCAGTATCAAATATTTCAAGTAAAAAATACCTATTTTCAAACACTGTAGCTAGTGATTTCACTTTAGTATCACCCATACTGTATCATGTCTGGAATGAGCTCTTTTGTATTACATTTGATGCTTTACATTTTCAAAGCACATCCAAAAATCAGCTAAATGAGGATTGCATTAAACCCTACAATTTAATCATAGTATATGATTATATATAGTATATATATATTATATCTCTATAGTTTTATGGCCAAGTTATAAGCCCCTGAGAACAGAGTTTATGCAGAAACACTGGCACCAATAACACTAGTGGATGCAGCTTTATTTAGATGTAATTAGCATAGAAAGCACCTGGAATTATTTATATTTTCTATTTATAATAGATTAACTCTTTGGATATTTTCATAACTATATTAAGAATACATTTGTTAATCTTAACATCCATTGCAGAAAGATTATATTTACACACAAATACACAAAGACTTGATGTGAAAGAGCAGAAAGGAAGAAAAGAAGGTGCCTGATCCTGTGCCCTTATTTATATACATGGGTAGTGCCTTTAAGTCAACTTGTATGAGTGTGGGTCCCAGGTGTGGATAAAAATTACAGGTTCTGGTCCATAATACTTTATGCATCTATGATTTTGACAAACTACTATTTAAACTATTTTTACAAATACATTCTACAGTAACTGTGTCTATGGGCTCAGGCATCCAGCCCTGAGAGAAACACAAAGTCTGCATTTGTAAAAATCCCCACAACATTTTAAGAATTCGCTGTTTTTACAACTCTGCACTGGAACACACCTGTCCAGCCAGCACAGGGGACGATCCCTCCAGTGTCCCAGGCTGCGCTGGGACCTACCAGGAACAGTTTCTCTTTATTATAAGACTTGGACAAACGAGTCTTGGTGAAAGAGTAACAGCTTGCTTGAAATGCAAAACAAGCCCAAATGCAACTCAAAATAGATTCAAATTGTGTTTTTATATCTACCTGCAAATGTTGCTGTCCAAAAAAGAGACTTCAGTTCAAGATAACAACATTACATTATCTGTGAAAATGAAACCATACACTTTTCAGAGTACAGGAGCTTCTTATATTGGCTGCATTCTTCATTAAAGTCTCCTAATACAATCTTGGTTTGAAACATACTTTAGAGAACAAACTAAACATGTTTGCAATACTTTGACAGGAAAACAGAATTCCTTCCAGACTGAAAGAATATGAATTTTGTAAGTCAATAATGACAACGTTTTTGTAGGTAAAAAGTGCAAATTTGTGTATACTACCTCTAAGAATTTTACACTGCTACCTACAGGGAGTTTCAAAGCGTCCTTCTTTTGATGTGCTTTACCAGTTGAATAGTACATTTTGACCAAGAGTCATAAAGTATATTTGACTGCTGCCTCCTGACTGTACAGATGCAAAGAACACCTTGAAGGGGAAAAAAAAAAGAACAAAACATTATGCTACTGTCAGTTTACATTTATGAGAATATTTTTACTCATATAAGAAGTTTGATAGAATGCCACAGTCCCAAATACAAGGATATATGGATATCACAAATCAACTTTAATCCCCTGAGAAACTTCTTAAAGTGAAACTCTACTTGTGATACAACTGGATTTTTCTTAATATATATTTCTTTTCTAATTTGAAAAGACACAGGAGAACATTTAAAAAGAATTTAAACAGTTTTCCAAATATGACAGTGGGACTAAGAAGGTTTCAGAGAACATTTATCAAAATTGCTATATACAAGAAATCAGACTTGATTATCCATACTTTGGTGTCTGCAATTAAGAGTGTTGTGGGGTTTTTTTCTCCACGATGGCTGCTCTGAACTGCCTGTAATTTCAGCAGCCCAGGAGAGGCAGTCCTGTAGCTGGGTGTTTTTGGGGCTGACTCACCAGCCCTCCCCACTATACCTGTGGTGTGGCCAGTTAGCAACGTCTGTATTTATTATCACCTCTGACAGCAGTGAAAGCTGGGTGGAATAGGAGTTCTAACAGAGCTGGTGGTGGGAAAGTGCAGAATATCCATAGTGAGGGTTTTGTGGGATCAGTGACTACACTGGCTTTGAATGGGGAAGTTATACTAAGGTAAGAAATAACCAATAACAAAGTTACAAAAATTAACTGGTCTTCGTGTCATAGTCAGCTATTACTCATTTTTGCTAAATCACCACACTCAGTGACCTCTGTACCTTGTCATTTCTTTCACAAAGAAATTTTAGCTTCTGTGCTTTCTTGTGCATAAATACTCCTTCCAGATTTCCTGTCTCCACAGAGCGTAGTTCAATGGCTTTCTCTCCCCAGCCCATGACCTGATTAGACTGAAGGTAAGCTAAAAGAAAAAAAAGAGAAAAAAATAATTTATACTATTTAACACCTGAAAGACTGATTCTTGCCTCATTTATATCAATTATGGATCTGATGCATTTCTCTTTGATAACAATATATTCTGAATTATTTGTATTTTAAATTTACACAAAAAGCCTTGGGGATAGTAACTCATTTTCAGTTACTCCTCTCAGACTTATTCTGGACTCTAGACATAAATCTTAACTACTGTTGCATGTCTTAGATTCACAAAAGGTTGAAGGAAACCTCTGAAGGACATCTTTTTGAACCCCGAGCCCCATATCAGGGCCAAATTAGACAGGGCTACTCAGGACCTTGTCAGGACATGTTTTGATGGATATCTCACAATGCATCACCAATTTCAAGGTTAAAAACTTCTTCCTAATACAATTTTTTCTTGGTGCAACTTTTTTGCCTCTCAGCCTTTCAATATCCAAGAAAAGTCTTGACTGTCTTCTCTGTACCCATTAAGTACAGAGACTGTTCTCTGTCACCATTAGGAAGCTCGGTTTGTATTTACTATAAAGTTCAGCTTAGTCTGAAACCTAAATACTTCAGAATTTGAGACTATGGCATGATTAATTTGGTGTCCTTAGCTATTGTCTTCCTGTTACTGGTTACGTGCGGTATCTCCAAAACCAAAAGATATTCCAGCACAGTGGAAGCTTACTATGATAAGCTTTACATCTGGCAATAAGAAACTGGAATAGTGACGAAGGAGTTAACATCACAAATTTCAAATTAGGCACAGTTTCAGTGAAAGCCCTCTGATTATTGCATGTATGGGCTTCCAAGGTAAAATCACATTAGTTATGCTCTACTGGTAGTCAATGCTCAGAAATTGTTCTTCTTGCTCAACTATCAACTGTTATTTCATTAGCCTGAGAATCCTGGTGCTCTGAAATGATGTAAAGGGAATGTGTGCATTGGACTGGGTTTAGCTTCAGTGGACAGGGCTTGCCTGCCCTACATTACTAGTGTGAGCAATGTCTGTTTCTTAAAAGCTTCCATGTTGCTTTAGGTTTTTGTATAAAAGTTAAACTTTCAGTACAGACTGACACAGGAAGCAACAGCCCGTGATCCTACTTGAAGGACAGTAGAAAATAAGGGCAATATGCCCAAGTGTCTGTATATACTTCTTCTAGCAGTGTTGATTTAATATTAACTTGGAATCTTTGATTTATAATTGTTGTTAAAGCAAGTGTATGAAAGTCATACCTCCTTGGAAACACGTGTGTTTTGGCTACAATTCTGTGATTTTAGTTTCCTCAAATTCTATGAATTTCCCCTACATCTGTTCAGATGACTTTCTTCGTGCACACTGAAGGCTTCCCTGTCACTAGAGCTGAGAGCTAGACAATTCTTTCCCAGTATCCCAGTCATGAGGAAAGAGGAAGAAACCAAGCTGTTTTAAAAGCAAAGCAGCAGTGAGCAACTGAGGGTAAGTGGCAAAAGAGGAGGGATATTTTCTAAAACTCAAACACATGAAATCAATACATTTTTAAATCTTTTCAGTTCTTAGGCTGTACAACAGGGTATCATTGCTACAGGCTGTGAGGGTGTCATTAATATCTCAACCCACTGCAGCAGTAGCTGGGTGAGCCCCAGGGCAGCACCCAGTGAAGTCAGCATGTGAAAAGGTAAGCCTGGACCACACATACAGTGAAAAAGATAAAAATGATACAATACTCAGACTTCTGCTTATTTTGTAACTGACAGCACATTAACCTCTTCAAACTTGGCTTGTGAAACAACAGAGGCCGAGGACACTACGGTTCTGGGGGGTGGGACAGGGAGGCAGGTGTGTATATAAACGGCATGGAAGCATTCTGTGGCTACACTGTTTAGTATAGGTCACACAGGTTTAGCAACAAAGACCGAATCCACTGGTAAGTCTCCTGATCTTTTCCACCACATGAAATCTGCACTCCAGGTGTCAGTATGCTGTGTCTGTATCAGCTGTATCCGTGCCTTTGGCAGATTTCAATTTGATAGCTTCCTTTCAGCTCCCAGTACCCACTTCATTAAGCTCTGCTGCAACCTCTAGGTCATTTGGGATAGAAAGCCTGCATGACCGGACCACTACTGCTGTGTTCAGAAGAGACAAGTATTATAAGTATCCAAGCAGTATTACAATAGGAACATAATAAACCAGACACATCACTGGGAACTTGTCAACTGACAATGGCTGATTTAAGTACAAGTAGCATAAAAAGTCTTGTCACAGAATCAAAAAATTCTCAGATTTCATTTGTGAAACAACTTGCCAACAAAATGGCTTGATTATACCATTTGCAGGGTTGTCCAGTTATAAGGATTTAACTATACATGGAGATTAATTTGGAGGATAGCAGGCTGTGAATTCAGAGGTCAGTACCAAGTCTTGATAATCTTCCCATATGGGAGCACTTTACAGGTGTCTGATGTGAGATGAATTGAGAGCAGATACTCAAAGTTGTCTTCTTTTGGAACAATAGCTCCTATACTACAGGAAACTTGGGAATAGTTACTGAGTCCACTTTTCACCTCAACAGGCTTTACATAAAAATGTCCTGTGCTTCTAGCTGGCAACATACACAGGTGCTTATATTACAGATTGTACAGGTTTTTAGCAACTCTAGACTTAACAGCCACTCTGATCCTTTGTGCAGTAGCTAAGCAGAAAAGGCATATACTGACTCTGAATGATGTGCCAGTAGCTGCTTAACCTACGGGAACAAAGTTATTCAGAGTTCCCTGAAGCTGCCCTGCTTCACCCAGATTACTGTGTGTATTAAAAAACCTACAACTGTGCATGAACTGTGGCTCTTGCTACACCATTTACCCCAGCAGTACTCCCTGGACATCAAAGAATACATGCCACAAAGCCAGTTTCTTATAATCGTGAAGGCATTAGCAATGCTCTAAACTTGTGCAAGACTTGGCATTTCCTGTTTACCCTGTGTATTGAGTAGAGGCAGGGAGTGACTGTTTCAAGGGTAAATGGTTGAGGGAGATAGGAAAGGTTAAAGAAATCACTGAGCCATATTGAATCCATTAACTCCTATGAAGTGTCACTGACATGAGCTAATGATCTCACACCAGTAGCATATTCAATGTCTGAATGAGACAAGTGCACTTGGTACCACAGAAGCCAGGTACTGTTACAATCTCACTTCCCTTCTTAATCTTTTTTAAAATGTTTCTCTTTTAAAAAAATCCCTCTTCTAATCTCATGTACTGAATTTGGCTCATTGCCCTGTAAGCAGTTATTCCCAACTGACCTCTGTATGAGAGCAGAATCAGGCCAGCTTTTAGCAAAATATCATAAAGTTGGGCTTTTCTGATTAGTGTTACAAAAATAGGGCAGGAAAGGACCTTAATGCACCTTCTCTTCTATCCATATCCCTATGCTGCATCAGTATCACTGGTGACAATTGTTTGTTTAACCTGACCTTAAAGACCTCCAGTGATGGAGACTCCAAAAATTCCCCAGGCAACTGATTCCAGATAAACCAGGAAGTTTAAAATGAAGAAACAGAACATGATTTAAAAGAGTCCGACCCACTTTTGTGTATCTGAGTCACGATATCAAACTCCATTCCAGGGTGGAAGAAAGTGTACACTGCTTTACTGAATTCCTTTTTGGAGACAATCGGTATGTGCACAGGTGAGATTCAATGCAAAAAAGCCACTGAATTTTGCTTTCTATACAGGTTTGTGAAAATTGCTTCAGGCAAGTGTGGAGCTGGGCAAAATACTGAGGAGAATATCTAGTGACGACTTTGGTGACAGTAAAAGATACCATCCACTGCCGAGTACACTGCTGTAGAACCCTTCTTTGGCCCTTCAGTCAAACTCAGTACACTCTATGAAACCACAGTATATTCAAGCTTTTTTCAATATATACTATATTCAATATATATAAAGCTTTTATTGGTTTCCCAGTCTTTGGGGAAAACATGTTTGTTCATTTTTAGACAAATGGAGGGGACGCATACATGTTGAGGACTGGGAATAAAAAAACCCACAGAGATACCAAGTGTCCTGTGATGCAGCAAAGCTTGTTCCCACAAAAACCCAGCTGAGAGCTCTCCAGTGATGCTGCTGATTACTGATTAGGGGCTGATAGCTATTTTGCATGCTGTCTCTAGCCCATGCTTTAATACTTACTGACCATAAAGTTGAGCAGTTTTGGGTAGGAAAACTGAGGAAGATAACTTCTCTTGTGCAATTCTGTTAAATAGTTTTACTGCTATAATTTATGTTACCTGGATACGGAAGAGGGTGTTTTTCTTCTTCCAGTCACAGCTGTGGAGAACTTTTATTAAACAAGAGAGGCTAGAGAGTCAAAATAAAGAAGGAAAAAAAGCTAAGGCTGAATAAAGTTAGAAATAGACAAATTAAGAAATTGGCCCTGGAAGGCCGGTGTTTTCCTGCTGTACATTTTGGTTAGAGTGCACTGGGAAGAGGGCTAACATACAGCAGAAGTGATACCCCAACCCAGAAATGCACCTGGGGTGGCCATTTGCTTGTTTGAATGCCTTTTGCTGTTCCCTTGGGGAAGAGCATGCAGGAGACCTGACCAACATCAGTCACTCAGATATGAGCAGGCGTGTTCTGTGCACGAGCTGGACAGCAACTCTCTCAAGAACTGGTGAGTGTGGTGGTAGAACACTGAGGCAATAATTCTACCACCTTTTGGTAACACTGTCTGTTTCTCTCCATAATATCCATTTTGCTTCTAATATGTACAGGGAAAATGAAATAAGGGCTTTTACTGCTTTCACACTCTGGGAATATCCAGATTTGTGTCAAACCTCTGAGATTACATACTGTAAATAATTCATTACTCACACAAAAGGGCAAAAGTGCTCCCCAATCTTATTAACTTGATGTTTCTTAAAGCCTTTTTAATCCTGTTTTATAGAAAGAAAATATTACATCTATATTTATATTTAGCACTACATATGTGAAGTATCTTTCAGCTTAAACATAGAATACTTCTACAATTTTAATTTCCCATGGGATTTGAGCTTCCTCTCTCCAATTTCTTATTAACAGATCGGTCACAGAGGTCCCAACTTTAAGACTATGAGTAAGTTATATTTAGATTCCCTGCCCTAAATCCATTGATTATAATACAAACTATTTTTTACTTTTTGTATCAAAATATTCTCACCAACTATGAAAGTTTTCTTTCAAAATACTTGGTTAAAGAAATCAAGAAATGAGCAAAGGATGACTAGAGAGCACACTGAGGTTAACACAAGACCCTTCTATCTCTGCAAAATTTTGAGGTAAGCTCATACAGACTTCAGGAGATCTGAAATGGGTCTGGAAATGTCTCCCAGGAAAACAGTTTCTTTTATGAAACTCAAATTTCCACCAAGCTGGGCCATGCAAATAACAGTTAATTCACACTTCTGTCATAATAGTTAATGTTTCTGTCTGGAGCCAAGAATATCAAAGGATTAAGAAAATTAATAGGAGTTAGTGGGGAAAATTTTTAAAATAACAGTTAACAGAGGTTCTTGTTTAAAGTTTGAGTTGTGTGTTGAGTTATAGGTTGGGTTAGTTTTTAGTGGAAATATGATTCCAATCAGAAATCAAATCTGTTTTGTACCACATCACAAAGACTGACAGTTTCTGTTCCAATGAAATCCATTTCTGAGATACCAGAAGTGCTGCAGCAGCAGCAGAAACTCAAGTGTTCTCAGGTAATGTACTGGAAACTGTTTAAATGAAAACTAAGAGGGGCTGTTTGGAGACTGCCCTTCAACTGTGGAATCTGCCGAAGTATAAACAATGAGAGAGACAGAGGGATGGAGACTGACACCACTCCTTCCAGAGAACATCCACAATCAAACCTGGCCTTTACTCACGGGTGTTATTCTATTGATTTTAATGGGCTTTTCCTAAAACTACTCAGCTAGAAATGAAAGGAGAAAGGTGTACATCCTTGATTTTCACTGTGGCATCCAGTTTCTTCAAAGCTAACACCATGCTTCTGTACAGTCTAAGTGTCTTGGGCTTGTTTTGTTTATTGGCATGTTTGTTTTAAAATGCAAAACAACAGCAGTGAGACAGAAATTAAAAGTAACAACTAATAAAAACAAAAATCTGCCTGTGTTGTTCTTGGTTTTCCCCATAGTGTTAGCTTGAAGCCCTCCAGGGAAGGTGAAACAAACAGCTGTCCTGGCTCCAGTACAACCAGAATCTCCTCCTACACAGACAACTGCAAGCATGGGGAGCTTGAGAATCTGTTATAAATACCCTGGGTTGGCAGCCCTGTGAATTTAAAGTGATAAAATTAAGGGGCCATTTGACAGCAGTTACAGATCTCTTCAGTAACTGACCTCTGTAGCTGTGAATTTGTACATAAAACGTTCTGAGCTATGAACGACCACAGCACCTTTTCCCCCTCTGTAATTCACACAATTCTCTCTGTGAGAACTGGTGGCAAGCTGCACTGTCAGTGAGGTTTGTCTGTACAGTCAAAGTGTGATGCAATAAACAGCGTGGCAATAAACAGACTGTGATCCAAATGTGAAGCCCCTATTGCAATCATAGGCCACGTTAACACAAACATCCATAAATCTGTTTACTCTTTACACATCTGGTTTGCTCAGAAGTTGCTTTATGTACCATACACTTTCACATGGATACAAACCTCGTAAAGAAGTCAGGCTTCATGCAGCAGAATCTTGTATTTAATAAAGAGCTATTTTTCATACATACCTACAGACGCTGGCATTTCTCCCCACTGTAAAACAGTCTCCTTTGTGAAATGCCCATATATATCAATGTAGATGCCTTCATCTTCATAGGTGAGCAAAAGCTCCATTCCGCTGGTGTTCGGGAGGATGATAATGGCATGTGGGCGAATAGTCCCCTGGATCTAGAATCATATTTTACTAAGATTTATATCAGAACATGGACTGCAATTTTAGTGATGACATCAATCTAACTAGCTTGGCAGAGCAATAAAAACAACTGGTTCATGGAAAGTGAAAGAAATGCCCGTTCTCAAAGGCTGAATAGTTTGCTAGTGAGCCTCTGAAACAGGCTTTCTCCCCTCCTCCCCCCTTGAATATGACAGTAGGCTGGCAAAACATATCAATGTTCAGTATTTCTCTTTAAATTTACCAGTGTTAATTGGTTTCAAGAAGCTATGGAGCCATTGAGACACAATAATATTTACTTAGTCACTCACAAAACACTTGCAAAACATAAATAGAAGAAAGGTGAAATAAATTTGAATTCACAATTATTTCAGAAGATGGAGGAAGGACAGAAGCTTTCACATTCCAGGAGATCAGTGCTTTCACTTTCCATGATATTTCCCTATCACTACTCACAAGTTAAACCCTGCAAATTCAACAATATTCACTTTGCTGTGAAAAGTTACCTTTCAAATACAAGCCACTCTCTGTCCTTCCCTTCCCAAATCCCTCACTACAAACAGTTCCCCTTTAACTGCTGTTGGGCACACCTCTCTGCAAGCCACAGGAACAGTGCATTTCACTCACACGAATCTCTTCCAGAAGCCAACATGTCCCAAACAAAAAAAAACCCCACAAAAGTTGAGGTATACAACCACGAAGGTGGGATTTTACGGAAGCATTTTCAAAAGAAAAAGAGGACAGCCTTAAAAAACAGTAACAAAGCATTTCCTTGTTTAAAGCGCTACTCAAAACAGGATGTTACATAGTAAATTAAACCACCACAATTAATATTTTTATAGGAAGCATATGACTGGAGCTTTACATCATTCTCACAAGCCAGCCACACACAGAGATGGTTTGTTTTTTTCCTTCAAGCACAGACACTTATACACACCGTGAGGGCACAACGAACAGTAAAAGAAGCACTGAAGCTGTACTTGCCAAACCGAATACACTCAGGCCAACCACTTGACTCCGTGCCTCCGCAACAACTATCCGCAACACTAGAACAGGTATCCAGAGCCGCAGAGCAATTTTAATGCGTTGCCTTGGTACTCGCATGAGTGATCGGAGCAGGTAAGAGATGAAGATAGAGGTGGGGAACCAGGAAAAGAGGCTACCAGAAAGCAAGAGTATCTAAAGTCAGCCTGTTAAAAAGTCTGGGCTGTTGCTACCAAAAAGCTCCTTGAGAGAATTATCCAATTCTAGCAGATGCTCTTTAAAATTATAAAATACCAAAGAAGATAGAGCCGCTGTAGCAGTCGATTTATTTCAGGTCTAAGACTCTAAAGGGAAAATGTATTTTTAGTACATGCTAACTTTTGGCTGAAGAGTGCACACAAACTCAGTCAGTCTTAGAGGTGCCCCACATATTCAGGGCAGTCACCTGGGAAATCTCTCTCATCAGGTACCTAATTGTATTTGCAGCCTGTTGAAAAAGTAAAGCCTCTAAGAAGGTTCACTTTTTTCTTTGCCTTTCTTCTCTTGGGCAATTATGCTAATGATCTCTTTGACAAGTCACTGTTCACCTTGCTCAGCAACCCACTTTCAGAATGGCATGTGGGTACCACGCTTCAATTTATAAACTGATGTGAATTTATCATAGCTGCATAGTTAAAGGTACTAATTGTCAGATTAAATAAACCCTCTAACAATACACCCTCTAACAGGACAAATACTAAGTCCCTTAAAAAAAAACCCAATGCAGAAATAAACAGTACAAGCCTTTAGCAGGTGATTAAACAGTTCCAACAGCTAAAAAAGTCACTTCTCAATGAAGAGAAGTTTCTAAACTTAGCAGCCATCCTCAAACACTGTGTCCATCAGGAACACAGGTCTGACAGGACACAGAGGCTGTCACTTCCAGGGCAGCAGAGTGATCAAATGGCTTGCACAGGAGGCTTTTCATTTGAGTTGAAAACGTGGGACTGAGAGTGGAGAAAAGTTAAAAAATAAATGGATTCATGGCACACGCTGCAACATGCAGATCTGGGATGAGATTTCTTCAGACATCCCAAGCGTAACTTTAGGACACGTGGCCTTGGGATGCAAGGAGGCCATGGCACCTGGATGAGCTAACCCTCGGCCCCTGTGGAGCACTGTTGACTTCAGGGAGGTTTCCAAGTGTGCACAGAAGTTTCCTTGCCAGGAGCCTCCCATTAGACTGGAGCCAGTCTGGAACTCGCCAGTTTACTGAATATAAGCCCCCAAGTTTCTCTGGCTTTTGAAAAGAACTATCTAGAACAGCGAAAAAATAAGCAAACAAACAAACACATTAAAACCATAGCACAGACTCGTATTGGACAGCCCCATGCCCTGTCATTCACTTCTGCAGGGGAATTTGCTGCATTTGAGTTTAAGCAGCAATTTAGTGATCACCATCACCTCCAACAGAGACACAATGCAATCAATTTGTACACATCAACCTCAAATCAACATTTTCATGCCAACTTCTTGACAATCTAACGAGAAAGTCTAGAGGAAAATGTAAAACCTCTTCTGAATTTACAGACTGATTTAACAGGCAACTGAATGGTAAGAAGATCCACAAATTTATTTAATCCAAAGTTGGGTTTCTGCAAAGTCTGCACAGTGGCAGATTGTAAAAGTCAGCTAAATTCATGTAGATATTATTGTGTCTTTGACTGTTAAGTCCTCAATTTCCAGGACAAATCGATTAGAAATAGTACTGTCCATACAATAGGCTTTCTGATATTAAACCATTAAAATTGATATCCTAAATGTGATAAAAGCATTTTAACAGGACTTCAGTGTTATAGAAGTATGAGAAAATTGGTTTTCTATTAGCTGTCATAAATATATATTCTCTTATCCTGTCTTTTGAAAAACAGCACAACTCTTAACCAGATCATCATCAATATACAGCCCAAAGAAAAAGGCAATAATGTTGGTTTTTGGATTATCTTACGTGTGTTGGAAGATACAGGTCATACACAGATCCAGAGTCCACATCAATAGCGTGAAAGCCCACTAGTGACCCATATATAACCTTCAATCTCTGTCCATTTTCAACAGTCAGGTCAACTGATAGTGGTTTGTGATGAAGTGAGGTAAAGGACTGGAAAAAAGAAAAAACATAAAATATAACAAAATAAACCTGCTGGTTTACAGATCAACATATACAATCTTAAGAATTCTCAAAACTCAAAAGTTAGACAGTTATTTTTGTTAAATAATAGGTTATATTTAAGGAGCTGAGTATCCATCATCCACTGAGTTGCAAGGACAGTTTGATAGTTCACTTGTAGAAATTCAGATTCTAGAAATGGACTAGGCAAAAATTAGGCTGAGTACCATTAGTGTTCAGTTTCGTCCCCTTCTGAGGGAAATCAGCATCAACTCTGTGAATTCAAATGTACATTTTGGCACAGCACACGTGCTGCATTTGGCTGGGGTAGAGACAAACAAGTTACTCACGTCTAACAATCGTGACAGTTTTATGCCTGCCATCTCCAATGTATGTCAAATGAGCTACACTTTCTTTAGAAGAATACTGATTTTATCTTTAACTCGAATAAACGTTATACAAAACAAAACAAACAAAAAAACCCCGAAAGCAAAGAGCAGATGAGAGGCAGCGAGAGACACTGACACATCTGAACCAAAGGGATTTTCACGTACCTTAAAAGCCATGAATTTGTGATAAGGCTTTGGAGCCCAGGCATAAACCTCCACTGAGTTTTTCAAAGCAATTACGAGGAATTTTATTCTCTCATATTTTACTGTAATACAAGAAGAACAATTCCTTAGGTACCAGACAGACACTTAAATCAAAGGCCATCTCATCACATGAAATAATTTCAATGGATTACTTGTAGAGGTAGACATTATCCAGCAAGGGAGACTAATGCATTCAGGACATCAATGTTTAATACCACCAGTGACAATACCTTGACTGGAAACCCATAGTTCATTTATTTTCAGTAAAGCCAAATGACTGTTAACAACATTTATATATTGCTTTTCATATAGCAATCAAAAAATAATAATAAATCTTACCACTCAGAAAAAAAAGGTCTTGACCCTGCATCTAAGCCAAGCTATGTGATTTTTTAAGTGTGAACGCACCCCAACAGCTTGTTAGGAATAAGCTACTGTTGGATGACTGGTGGTTGCCGGCTGAACAATTCTGTAAGACTCTGCAGGATGAATTT